CCAGAGCAAGTTGCTTACCCTTTGAGTTTGAGTTCCTTCACCAGTGATACAGAGCTAAGATCGTGGCCTTCTGAGGATCAGGTGAGGTAATGGATACAAAGTGCACAGCACAGGGTAAGGCATGTGGTAGATGGTGAATAAGCGACAGCTACTATTATTCCACAGGCAACTCCATAATCCTCCATAAAATCACAGGGATTTTTTTTTTTTTTTTTACATACATCAATTTTTTTTCTTTTGCGGTACGTGGGCCTCTCACTGTTGTGGCCTCTCCCGCTGCGGAACACAGGCTCTGGACGCGCAGGCTCAGCGGCCATGGCTCACGGGCCCAGCCGCTCCGCGGCATGTGGGATCTTCCCGGACCGGGGCACGAACCCGTGTCCCCTGCATCGGCAGGCAGACTCTCAACCACTGCGCCACCAGGGAAGCCCATACATCAAATTTTTAACAAAAAAATTAGAGGGGCCTCAGTCAAATGATCAAAACACAATGCCACCTTCCCATGGCAGGAACAATGCCACCAGTCCTCGAGGAAAGCTCCAGTACATATATTTGGATGTCATTATTTTGTCAATACGAGAGTGACAACTGTCCCTCAAGATAAATCCAAAATGAAAGTAGAAATTGAAAAAGACCATGTTATTATTATTACTAATAGCTCTCATCTAATCAGGGCCTAATATGTGGCAACAACTGTGCTAAGAGCTGTAGAACTATAATTTCCATGAACTCTCCCCAAGAATTATGAGGGACTTTTATTATGAGGTTGGTTCTTTGAAGTTGGTACTGTTATGATTCTATGCAGTAGGGGTCATGATCACCCCCATTTTAGAGATGAGAAAGCTGAGGCTTGGAAACAAGAGGTTCAAGGATTAGCCCAGAGATGAACACAGGTGACAAAAGCAACTCACCAAGGTCACACGGCAAAGAGTGCTTGGGGCCAGGACTCAATCCCAGGTCAGCCTGACTCATAAACTCATGGCCTTCCCCACAACCCTGTACGGCTTCCCATATATATAATGTGGAATAATTCCATCATACCTAAAGTCCTGAGTCCTAGTTTCTTAAATCGCTAAGCTTTGTTGATTTCACTGACCAGTTTAAGGAACATTGAATGAGAATGATACTGTGTCCAAAGCTCTGTGCTAGCTGCAGTGGAGAATGTAATTATGGCAGGTCCTAATTTTGTCTTCAAAGCAATTGACAAATAACAAAAGGTATAAAAAGAAATCAAAACTGGGTACAAAGTGAGGCGTGGGCAAGAAGCCGAAGTGCTGAGGAAGAATGCAGCAGCCTCTAGCTTCCAAACTGGAACTTTTTTGCTCTAGACTGGGCCTCTTTTAACTCCCGTTTGAGTGGCACAGTTCAAGACAGGCTTTTACCAAGGTCTGGGGCAGACAGGCTGGAGGGACTGCTTTTAAATCCACAAACTCCCCCAAGTCTAGCCCATTAAAATCCAGAATGCTGTTTCTTCCCAAGATAACTCAGACACAGCTATCTTGGCAACGACGTTGCATATCTAAGTTGAAATCATAGGTTCAACTCTGTCGCTATCTTCCTGGCAGGCTGGCTTCTCACCTTTTCCCCTCTCTGTCTTTTAAAAATGTCAGTCTCTCATCTTGGCTGTTAACAGAGTGTCTTAGGAAACTCTTCTCACACTACCTACACTTCCTCGGGGTTTCTGACTTTAGGGCGCCCTGGGCTAAGGCTGGCTTGTTAGAAGTGAACCTGGATCAGACTGATTTGCAAAGTTCCTTCAATGCATTTTTAACACACCTGCTGTTTATGTAAGAATTGAACTCGCTAATTTTGTGTTGTTGCTCTCAGAAACTAGTATATGATTGACTTTTTTGTGTCTGACTTTATTTTTATTCAAACACTGGTTTCACTTAGAAATGAAGGCAAAAATTTCATTTCAGTGAAATGAACGAAGGTCGTGATATAAATATCACAAGGCCTGGATATGAATATGTATAGAATATCACAGCACATCTTTTGCCCAGTAGCTGTGGTCCATGAGCGTGGAACAGTGTGAAATACGGGAAGCAAACCCATAGGATAAGAAACATGCAAGGGAAGTTTCAATGTTCTTGGGGGGATCTGGACAATATCAAGACAAGAAGGTAATGAGTAGTGCTGGGACTGCTTGTGGGGGCCAGTAAAAAATCGATGGAAGCAAGGGAATGAAAAAGAAACAGACCCACCTGGACAGGAGGAGAAGGGAGTAATGCTTGGGAGCAGGAGGATGCCAGAGACAAATTCCTGTTTAACCACTTTCCTTAGGTCAAGAAACGTTAGAGTTGTAACAACAACCACACACCATCACCGTCATCATCGCCATCATCACCGTCATCGTCATCGTCGTCATCATCACCATCATCACCGTCACCGTCACCATAGTCATCATCACCATCATCACCATCACCATCATCACCATCATCACCGTCATCACCATCATCACCATCATCACCACCATCACCGTCACCATCATCGTCATCACCGTCATCACTGCAATAGTACAAGTAATAAAGTAGTTGTTGTTTATTAAATGTTGTTTATCCTGTGCCAAGAATTGCACTAGATGCCTCCCCAGCACTTTCTAGATTCCTTATAACCACCCTGTAATATAAGGATAAACTATACTCCCCTGCAGAAACTGAGGCCCAGAGCCAAAATTCAAACCCAATTCTCTGAACTCAGAATGCCCACGAGACACCTTGAGAGCCAGGGGAGGGAGCCAGCAGCACCCATTGTGCATCTGGTGGTGAGCGCAGGGATGCTGCCCCTTCCAGACCCCACTCATGATGCAGTACACAGAGTCCGGAGCAAAGGACCACCAGGCTGGAATGGGATTTGAGAGTCTTCTGGTCCTCTAGTTCAGTCTTGTAGACTCAGAGAGAGGAAGGACTCAGGTTTCCAGACTGCTGGTCCTAAGCTTTTTATACTTGCAGCTAGAGGTGGTCATGTGATTCAGCCAGAAGTCTGCTGGGAAATATTTCTGGGAAAGTTTCTGTTTCATTCATAAAAAGAGACAGACATGACTAGCTTGGATCCTTCCTCCTAGTTGCCTTCATCCTACCTTGGATGCTGACACATGGCTGGGTCCAAAGAAGCCATCTTGGAACACAGAGAAAAGACAAGGGAATTGCAGAGATATGAGCCCCAACATGATTGAGCTGCTGAACCAATGCCAGAAACCACTTACTTCTTGACTTTCTTTCATTTATTTATTTATATTTTTGATTTGTAGTCTTTTTTACTTTTTATTTTATTTTATTATTATTATTATTTTGTGGTACATGGGCCTCTCACTGCTGTGGCCTCTCCCGCTGCAGAGCACAGGCTCCGGACGCACAGGCTCAGCGGCCATGGCTCACGGACCCAGCCGCTCCGCAGCATGTGGGATCTTCCTGGACTGGGGCACGAACCCGTGTCCCCTGCACCGGCAGGCAGACTCTCAACCACTGTGCCACCAGGGAAGCCCCTATTTTATTTTTTAATTAATTTTTATTGGAGTACAGTTGCTTTACAATGTTGTGTTAGCTTCTACTGCACAGCAAAATGAATCAGCTGTACATATACATATATCCCCTCCCTTTTGGCTTTCCCTCCCATTTAGGACACCACAGGGCATTAAGTAGAGTTCCCTATGCTATACAGTATGTTCCCCTCTGTTGTCTATTTTATACATAGGTATCAAATTTTTTTGATTTCTTTGTTTTAATTGAATATAGTTGATTTACAATTTTGTGTTAGTTTCAGGTATACAGCAAAGTGATTTTATATATATATATATTATATATATATACACACATATATATATGTGTGTATATATATATATAGTCTTTTCCATTATGGTTTATCATAGGATACTGAATATAGTTCTCTGTGCTGTACAGTAGGACCTTGTTGTTTATATATATAATAGCTTACATCTCTTAACCCCAACCTCCCACTCCATCCTTCCTCCAACCCCCTCCCCCTTGGCAACCACCAGTCTGTTCTCTATGTCCGTGGTCTGTTTGTGTTTTGTAGAGAGGTTCATTTGTGTCGTACTTTAGATTCCACATATAAGTGATATCACATGGTATTTGTTTTTCTCTTTCTGACTTACTTCACTTAGTATGATAATCTCTAGTTGCATCCATGTTGCTGCAAATGGCATTATTTTGTTCTTTCTTATGGCTAAGTAGTATTCCATTGTATATATGTATCACGTCTTCTTTATCCATTCCTATGTCGATGGACATTTAGGTTGTTTCCATGTCTTGGCTATTGTGAAGAGTGCTGCTATGAACATAGGGGTGCATGTATCTTTTTGGATTAGAGTTTTGTCTGGATACACATTACATTCTATTTTTTATCTTAATCCCAGATAGAATGTGCTTCAGTCCAACCAAGAAATTCAAACTTTTGGAAGCAGAAGCAATTGGATGACATTCAGAGGCATTTGAGTTTGCAGCTCTGCTCTTCTGCTGCTGCGTGTAGGGAATGGTGGGGCCTTCCATTCTGTTCTAACTTGATCTGTGCTCTGTGGTCCTAAACTCAGTGAAGGCTGGGAATGCAACTGACTTCCCCAGTTTTCACATCGAGGGCTGTGCCTTCACAGAAGAAAACGAACAAACAAACAAACAACCTCCTCCTTTTCAGTTTCTGGAATTCTTTATAAAGGACATTTTCTTTCTTAAAAATTATAAAATGTGGATTTGAGAACAGCCTTGGGAGTCATTCAGTTCAATCCCTGATATCAAATAAATCAAAATGAAAGTCAGATTACCTTTACAAAAACGTTTCTTGAGGAGACCGATAGCACAGTCATCTTTGGCAGTATTTGAACTGTCAAGCATTTCTTCCTTTGGCCTAATTGAATCTCCTTTCTTCAACTAAAAATGTAAAAAAAGAAAAAAAAAGAGAAAAAACCCAGAATATGACTTATTCTCAAAATAAGATTTTATAGATTGCCAATTAGTACTAACTTGCCTATCTTTCTTCTGTTTCCAGGATGGATCAAGTCCAAATAAGAATCTTGTTAGAATCTTTCCATTTCTTCCACCATGAAATAGAATGAAATAATGCCATTTGCAGCAACATGAATGGACCAAGAGATTATCAAGTAAGTCAGAAAGAGAAAGACAAATACCATATGATATCACTTATATGTGGAATCTAAACTACGACACAAATGAACTTATCTATGAAAGAGAAACAGACTCACAGACATAGAGAACAGATTTGTGGTTGCCAAGGGGGGTGTAGTGGAGGAGGGATGGACCGGGAGTTTGGGATTAGCAGAGGCAAACTATTATGTATAGGATGGATAAACAACAACGTCCTGCTCTATAGCACAGGGAACTATGTTCAATATTCTGTGATAAACCATAATGGAAAAAGAATATGAAGAAGAATATTTACGTATAACTGAGTCACTTTGCTGTATAGCAGACATTACCACAACATGGTAAATCAACTCTACTTCAACCACAACAACAGCAAAAAGAACCTTTTCATTTCCATCTTTCCATTTGCATCTTTCAGAATAAGGTTCAGGTTATGCTGTGATATTGGCATGTGAAGGCCACACAGCCATATGCCCACCTCCCAACTCCTTTTCCATGTCCGTGTCTCCTGCTCTTCAGCCCTCATCCTTCCTTCCTCCCAAACACACCCACACACACATCTCCCATGGACTTGGGGATTCCCCCGGGTCCCCCTGCACTTGAATGGAGAGGGAATGTACTTCTCTGAGACTCTCCACATATTCCCCATGGGCCTCCACACACTGAGCCTTCAACCAGTTTGACTGTTTTCCTCTGATGCTTTCCTTTGCTCTTCTGCTCACCACCTCCGGAATAACCAGAAAAAGTGCTATTTTTTTAACACAGTAATTCAAACCAGACATGGGGCTGAGCCCTCAAAAGGATGCAAGCCCGGTGATTTCCTGTCTTTCCCTGTTTTTAGATAATTGGTTTCCATCCCCTTTTTATGTGTGAGTAAATGCATTCGACCACCGCCCAAGTGGCCCCATCCATCAGGCTCAGTCTAGTCCGGGCAGGAGAAAGAGAGTCTAAAAGTAGGGCTCATTTCCAAACTAAGTGCAGGGTGAGCCAGTGTTATCGACAGAAACTCTCTCCCTCGTGGTTGGTCTGCAGATACACTCAGAGACTTGGAAGGGCTCAGGCTTTGAAGAGGAGCCACGAGGTAAAGCCATGTCCAGGCCCATCAAGCTGTCACTCTCTGAGTGATGGGTTGACATGACCATCCTCTGTCAGCACTATTGTTGCTGTCATCCCCAGGGACCAAAGCAAGCACAAAAGCTAAGAAAACCATGGACTCAAAAGTAAATGGATGAGATCAGGCACGTTCAGGGTGGAATGCCCGTAGACAAAAATCAAATATCACTCATCTGTGTAATCTAATTTTTTTAACAAAATGAAACAAATGAACTTATTTACAAAACAGAAACAGACTTACAGATATCGAAATCAAACCTATGGTCACCAAAGGGGAACTGTGGGAGGGAGGGATAAATCAAGAGCTTGGGATGAACATACACACACTACTATATATAAGATAACCAACAAGAACCTACTGTAGAGCACTGGAAACTCTACTCAGTGTTCTGGGATAACTTATATGAGAAAGGAATCTGAAAAAGAATGAACATATGTGTATGTATAACTGAATCACTTTGCTGTACACCTGAAACTAACACAACATTGTAACTCAACTCTACTCCAATAAAATTAAAATTAAAAAAAGAAAAAAGCAAATGGATTCACTCTCAAGGTGGCATAGTGGATTCCTCCTCAGAATGGCTGATTTTCCTTTGTATCTCAGCCCACAAGAGGAGGTCCCAACTGCCTGTCTCTAAAGAATATTATCTACTTTCTAAGGTTATACACTCCCAAACCTGTCTTTTTCCTGGAGAAAAACATTTCTCTTCTCTTTATTTACTTTTCCCCCAAATAGAAAACATACACTGAATTGCAGCAAAGGCCACGACATAGATCTCTGGTTTTTATTGTCTCTGTCTTTTCCCCTTTTCTGGTGCTACTTTATCACAGTATCCATGAGGATTTCCACAATCTTATTAATATTTAACATTTATTGTTAGTCTCTTGAGCCACCACAGAGACATATATTATCTCTTTGCAAGACTTAATGTCACCCTTAGTGATTCATATTCTCCGTGGTATGCTTTCTACTTAGAAAACAAAAATCTTCTTCATCTCCAAATTAAAGCATTCTGTGCCCAGCTGAAGTTCCAATGCTTGGGCAGAAGGAATGGGTGGTAGACAATGAGGTTATTTATACTTTGTCTACCAGGGATCAGAAGTTTTTTACAGAAACTTTTGGAGTTATTCAGCTCACATCCTGTACTTATATTTCTTTTGAAGTGCCTTAAAATATAGACTTTAAATTAAAAACTTAGGTCAGACTTATTTAACTTTGCATTATCTTACAAGCAAAGTTTGCTCAGCAAGCAAATGCCTACTGTAAACTCAATATCATGGGATTGATTTACCTATCAATGGGAACAAATTATTTTTTAATATCTTAGCAGAAGAGTGTGCCGTAAGTATATAATTAGGAAAACAATGACAATACATTCATGGGCAGTTTTGGAGAATAAACTTATATTGGCATTTTTCTACCTTCTGAATTTTGTTCTTAATAAGCAACATATGAGAAAATTAATGGACAGTATCTCCTAATTATGAGCTCTGCATGAGAACTGAAAAGTACATGTAAGCAAACTAGGTGAAAAATCAGTATGTTCTCTGTGTTTTTAAATGTCAAAGTTTATGTCAGTGTTAATTTGGTTACAACACAGTGATCATAAATGATGAAATTTAATGAATATTTTCTCTAACATGAAAAAAACATATACCAACAATTAATGTGCTAAATGAAAATGATTTTTCTCTATTCTGTCGGCAGATCTCACTTGGAAATAGGTTGTTGGCTTACTTTGAGTAATGGGAATTCCAAAGACATAAGACAGATTTATTTTTAAAAAATATACTCCAGTGATGATTCCTATATTCCAAATTAGTCATTTGCCTAACTAGTATTTTTGACTCCAACCCCACAATAAGAATTTGAATTTGCTGTATAGTATATGTATGCAGTTCAAAACCTCTAGGTTTAGACGACAGGCAGACCTTGTTCTAATATTGACCCCGTATTTTACTTGCTGTGTGACAAGCATTTAATCTTTTAAAAAATATTAATTAGCATAATACCTAGAATAACTATTGTACTTATTGAACTATAAGTTTTAGTAACTCTCAATGAGGTGTCAGTCAGTCATTTCTGATGGATGGGAAAGTTCACCCATAAAATGAGTCAGGTGACCTTGGCCACATCCTTGAGCTCGTCACAAAGCCACATTCTGTTACAGTGTTGCAGCAGTCTCTCCCATCTCCTAGAGACCAGATGCAAAGCTTCGTGTGTTTAATAAAGGATCAGGACTTGAGGACACAGGGAGGCGGAAGGGTAAGCTGGGACGAAGTGAGAGAGTGGCACTGACGTATATACACTACCAAGTGTAAAACAGATCGCTAGTGGGAAGCAGCTGCATAGCACAGGGAGATCAGCTCCGTGCTTTGTGACCACCTAGAGGGGTGGGATAGGGAGGGTGGGAGGGAGGGAGACGCAAGAGGGAAGAGATATGGGGACATATGTATAACTGATTCACTTTGTTATAAAGCAGAAACTAACACACCATTGTAAAGCAATTATACTCCAATAAAGATGTAAAAAAAAAAAAAGCATCAGTGAGTTCCTTGTGGTCCAAGGTAAGTGTTTTATTACTTTAGGTGGGGATGTCATTATCATTGGTTTTCAAGAAAACTACAATGAGGTACCACCTCACACAGTCAGGAAGGCCATCCTTAAAAGTCTACAAATAAGAAAGGCTGGAGAGGGTGTGGAAGAAAAAGGAACCCTCCTACATTGTTGGTGGTAATGTAAATTGCTGCAGCTACTATGGAAAACTGTGTGGAGGTTCCTTAAAAATTAAAAATACAGTTACCCTATGATCCAGCAATCCCACTCCTGGGCATATATCTGGAGAAAACTCTAATTCGAAAAGATACATGCACCCCAATGTTCATAGCAGCACTATTTACAATAGCCAATACATGGAAGCAACCTAAGTGTCCATCAACAGATGAATGAATAAAGAAGATATGGTGTATATATACAATGGAATATTGTATATATTCCATAAAAAAGAATGAAATAATGCCATTTGCAGCAACATGGATGGACTTAGCCAGAGATTATCATACTAAGTGAAGTAAGCCAGACAGAGAAAGACAAATACCATATGATAGCACTTATTTGTGGAATCTAAAAAAAGAAAAGGTACAAATGAACTTATCTGCAAAACAGAAATAGACTCATGGACATAGAAAACAAACTTATGGTTACCAAAAGGGAGAGTGGGGGGAAGGGATGGAGAGATAAATTAGGAGTTTGGGATTAACATATACACACTATTCTATATAAAATAGGTACACAACAAGGACCTGCTGTAGAGCACGGGGATCTACACTCAATATCTTGTAATAACCTATAATGGAAAAGAATCTGAAAAAGAATCTTCAGATATATATATGCCTGAATCACTTTGCTGTACACCTGAAACTAACACAACATTGTAAATTAACTACACTTCAATTAAAATAAAAGAAGCACCTTCTCTTTCTGCAGATGATCCTAAACAGGGAGGGCATTTCACCTCCAAATATTCAGCCTGTGATTTAGGAGTATCTCCATAATGTCTTCCTTTCCATTCACTTAGTGCTCCCCTTTCATCTGTTTGAATTGGCTGTGGCATTTGCTCCTCCTTTTGAAGATCTTTAAGATAAACTGCCCAACCTCAAGAATTAGCCAGACAGCTCTCCTCTGTCGTTTGAACAGTAAGGTCGGGAGCATAAGAGAAAAATCTACTTTTCTGGGTATTTTCTTTGTTTTCATAACTGATGCTTATAAAGTGCTTACTAATATTATTATTCCCATTTTACAGATGAAGAAACTGAAGCCCCCAGAGGTTGAATTATTTGTCCAAGCTCACACAGCTTGTGAGGGACAGAGCCGAGATTCACCCAGGACACATTGCCTCTTGAGCTGGAATTTGAAAACTCTGGCCCATCTTGTCACCTGCTCCAATTAAAAAAAAACCTCACTTTAGCCCCTCTTGGCTTATTTTCTCACTTGAGATTCTGTCTCTCCCTCTTCAATATACCCCATGAGAACAAATTAATATGTTTCTGCCAATCTGTCCCACTTTTCTCCCATAAGCATCATTTAGGTTCCCCTCAATATAGGTTACTCATGAACGGGCAAAGAACTGTACCTTCTCCAAACACCTCCTTCATGGAATCATCAGGGTTCTTTGTTTGTGGGGGAAGATTGCATAAATAACACATTTCTTGTTTTTCTAAGTTAATAACCAGTTGTCATATGGATACAGGAGACAGACAGATACAGATTCTAGTTGAGTTGTTTGTTTTTATTGTTAAGTTTTTTTTTGTTTTTTTTTTTTTGCGGTACGCAAGCATGTGGGATCTTCTTGGACCGGGGCACGAACCCGTGTCCCCCGCATCGGCAGGCGGACTCTCAATCACTGCGCCACCAGGGAAGCCCTATTGTTAAGTTTTAAGAGTGCTTTGTAATTTGGGATATCAGTCATTTATCAGATGTTGTTTTACAAATATTTTCTCCCACTCTGTGGCTTTTTTCCTCATTTTCTTAACAGTGTTTTCTTCACAGGGCAGAAGTTTTTAATTTTAATGAAGTCCAACTTGTCAAATTTTTCTTCCATGGGTCATGCTTTTGATGTTGTACCAAAAAAGTCATTACCAACCCCAAGGTCACGTAGATTTTCTCCTGTGTTATCTCCTAGGAGTTTTATAGTTCTGCATTTTACATTTACTATGATCCAATTTGAGTCAATTTTTGTGAAAAGTGTACGGTCTGGGTCTAGATTCTTTATTATTATTATTATTGCATGTGGAGGATCAATTCAGTGGTTCTAGCAACATTTGTTGGAGACACTGTCTTTGCTCTATTTAACTGCCTTTGCTCCTTTGCCAAAGATCAGTTGACTGTATTTAAGTAGGTCTATTTCTGGGCTCTCTGTTCTATTCCATTGATCTATTTGTCTTTTCTTTCTCCAATACCACACTCTCTTGATGACCGTAACTTTATAGTAAGTTTTGAAATCAGGTGGTATCAGTTCTCTGACTTTGTTCTTCTCCTTCAATATCATGTTGGCGATTCTGTGTCTTTTGCCTTTCCATACAAACTTTAAAATCAGTTTGTCAATATCCACAAAATAACTTGCTGAGGATTCTGATTGGGATTGTGGTGAATCTATAGATCAAGTTGGGGAGAACTGACATCTTGACAATATTGACTCTTCTTATCCACATACATGGACTATCTCTCCACTTGTTTAGATCTTCTTTGATTGCTTTTTATCAGAATTTTACAGTCTTTTTCATATAGAGTTGGCCATATTTTATTAGATTTATACCTAACGCATCTCTCTGGTTTTAGTGCTCATACAAATGGTGTTGTGGTTTTTAATGTCAAATTCCAATTGTTTATTGGTGGCATATAAGAAAGCAATGACTTCTGTACACTAGAAATAGATCTCAAAGATCAGATTTATTACTGAGTAATGCTGGATTTGAGGATATGGACACAACTGAGACTTTAAAGCCATGTAGTGGATTAGATCATCTTGTCTCTCCACTTTGGACACAGTTCAACAGCCCCAGGTAACTACCAGACTGCTCCAAGGAGATCACAACAGAGAGGAGATGAGAATGCACCCCAAGGACAGGACCTGGTGCACACGCGTGCACACGCGCGCATACACACACACACACACACACACACACACACACACACAAGAGCCTGGGAGGGGCAGGGCCAGCCTTACTCTCAGATAAGTCACTCCTATCAGGGGCAGGAATGGGCCAGGGACTGAGAGCCAAGGAACATGACTTTGGCAGGAGCTGCCCATCAGGGAAACATGAGACTACAGGCTAGAAATTCCCTCCAAAATTCCACACTAGCCCCTCCCACTTGAAAAGATTTTAAAAAATCAAGACAGAAAGAAAATCTAAAAGTCACCTCAAAAAAGGGATTTGCTGTGTGTTTGTGTGTGTGTTTGTACATCTCATATATTATGTATATCAAACCTCCACAAAATTAGTCCTATTTAAAATACTGTCTCCGAAGGTCCAGGCTTCTTACATACATGTCACCTCACCAAAAATTCTGCTTTTTTTCTTTTTAAGTAATGTGCCACTTAATAATAAGTTATTAAGCATAACATGGGGACCCAAGAAGCACACATAAAAATATAAAAGCTACTTGTTATGTCACCACTCAGAGTCCAGTATTTCCTCTTATGCACATTTATATACATATAAACATATATTTTAAAAGATTGTAATAGGTATATATTTATATAACCTGCTTTTTTAAACTCATATATCTCGAAAATTCCTACATCACTAAATAGTCTTCTACAAGATGGCTTTAATATCTGGGTAGTATTCCATTATATGGATATGTGTATGTACTATAATTTATTGTCAACCCTACTACTATACTATTAGGTTGTTCATAGCTTTTTCTCTATCTTGAACAATCCAGTATGAACATCTATGTTCATAAATCTTTGCACAATTATCTAATTATTTCCTACAGTTACTCCCTAAAAATAAACTTCCTGCATCACTAGATATGCCCATTTTTTAGTCTTTCAAAACATTTTTGTCCAACTCTGCTCTCACCTTAATGATTTGATTTCCCAGTTTCCCACTTATTCTCTGGTAGTAAATTTGTGACCTTTGGAAATGTTTTACAGCCATTTGGGTCATGTTTAGACCATGGACACAAGGATTTATTGAAATCATTCTTAAAAATAATTGAATTAATGTAGATTCTAAATTTAGGAGGTAGCTGAGATACAGAGCTAGCCGGCTGAATACCCCGGTACATGTGGGGTTGTGCTTTTCTCCAACTTCTTAACTTCTCAGAGGAATTGAGACTGCTTCTTTGGATAAAATGCTGTATGGAGAGAAACTCCTTAAGCTCTGAAATACCTTTTTGCCTAGATCCTGATAGACAGCAAAATCTGTGGTATGACAAATGGCATCTGACATCCAGGAAGGAACACATCCTGAAAAATAAATCCATATCTCTCATCCATCTCTAATTTCAGGGGACAGGCTCTCATGCGAGATCCATATCTGCCTCTGCCTTCCACAAACACTGCATTTTCGCTTCCTGGCCCTGTAATCAACTTGGCTGAAACACAGCTACTGCCCAATCTGAGTTAAACTTTGCTCCCAGAAAGAGACAAGATACACTGCTTGCTGAAAATTGATTTCTAAGGAGAAAAATATAAGTAAGTAAGCCATCATTTAAAGTACACATATTTTTGCTGGTTTTTAAAAATGGGGTTAAAGAATCTGTATTTTTTGCATTCATGTACAGAGCCAATATTTTAATAGACATTAGGTACCTAGGACCGCTCTTGTGAGTAATTCAAAGCACAGTACTCTTAAAAAATTAAATATATACTCATTCTGTTTATAAAAATTACTGGCTTCCTACTATGTGCCAGTTTGTATTTGGTACTGGAGATAGTTAAATAAATAATATTTTGACCCCAAACTTAAGAATCTCCCCTTCTAGGTGAAACAATGCTCGACATCATTAGCCATGTTGAGGGACCCATCATTAGTCGGGGAAAGCAGGTCAAAACCACAATAAAGTAGCACTTCATACTCACTAGGATGACTATGGGAAAAAAAAGGATGGACCATAACAAGTGCTGCCAAGAATGCAGAGAAATTAGAACCGTCATGAGTTGCCGGCGGGACCATAAAATGGTGCAACCACTTTGGCAGATCCTCAAAATGTTAAGCATAGATTTATCATATGACCCAGGGATTCCACTCTTAGATATATACCCAAGAGAACTGATAACATATGGACACACCAAATTTGTACATGATTGTTTGTGGAAGAATTATTCATAGTAGCCAAAAAGTGGAAACAACCCAAATTACCATCAACTGAAGAATGAATAAACAAATGTGGTGTATCTGTACAGTGGAGCCTTATGTGGCAATGGAAAGGAACGACATACTATAACATGGAAGACCCTTTAAAAACTTTATGCTAAGTGAAAGAAGCCAGGAGCAAAAGGCCACATATTGTGGTTCCATTATATGAAATGTACAGAGTAGGCAAATCCATAGAGACAGAAAGTGATTCAGGGGTTGCCAGGAATTGGGGAGTTGGGGGAGAGGGGGTGAAGAGCGAGTGATAAAGGTGTAGGGCTTGTTTTGGGGGAGTTGATGAAAATGGGAATTAGTGGTGATCAGTGCACAACCTTGTAAATATATGAAATACCACTGAATTGTAATCTTAAAAAGGATGAAGTTTATGATATGTGAATTATATCTCAATAAACATGTTATTAAGAAAAAGAATTCCCAGGATAATGTGATTCATTCCACTACTAAGGTAGGTTAAAAAAGGGTGGGGAAAGCCTTCATGAAGGCACTAATATCTGCCCTAAGTATTCAGGGATGAGTAGGAAGAAAGTTGATGCAGGGAGTAGAAAAGGACATCTAGGTAAAGGGATTATACAAGCACCTAGTAGGTACTAAATAAATGTGTTTTGAATGAATTCATGATTTCGGAGAATTACTTGATTTGAAAATGTCATGAGAGCCGCCTCTCCAGCTGCCAAGATAATTGAGGACATGCCAAACCATACGACCAAACTGGGTTGGGACCACTTTGGCAGGTTACACAATGGCAAAGTTATGATCTTACTAGTTTCCTCTGATATAAAACACCTATAAATTTCTCTTTATCTCTCTTACTGGACAGATCATTGATGAACTCTTAGAAGAGATCACTGCTATTCCTTTTATCCTAGACTGTGTCTACTAGTACAGACATAAAGTCTGGTGAAATATTAAGCAAATGCTAATCATCTCACATCACATGTATAGGAAGAATTAAGTTGAATATTTTCTTTTCTTAACTTTCAACCAGCTTCTTTTGAATAGAGGACTGTAGACTCATGTCTATAAATCCTATACATTTTCTAAATTATGAGTAATGTTATAGAATCCACCCGTAATCTCTTCTATTCCTAGATCTCAAGAACATTAAACAACTGAAATGTTCAAGATATATGGAAACGAAATTCAAAAAACACAATCTGAATACCAGTAAGATTTCAGCTATGGAAAAATTTAGATAAACCAGCGAAGGTAGGAAATGGCAATTAAATGGAGTTGGGTGCTACATAATTTAACTTGAAGAAAAACGTAACTGACCTGCATATGATTCTATACAATTGATTATTTTTGTAAAGAAGATTTGTGGCTGGGATGATAACAAGAACCATCCTGGGGGGCTTCCCTGGTGGCGCAGCGGTTGAGGGTCCGCCTGCCGATGCAGGGGACACGGGTTCGTGCCCCGGTCCGGGAAGATCCCAAGGGCCGCGGAGCGGCTGGGCCCGTCAGCCATGGCTGCTGAGCCTGCGCGTCCGGAGCCTGTGCTCCTCAACGGGAGAGGCCACAGCAGTGAGAGGACCGCGTACCGCAAAACCAAACCAAACAAAACAAAAAGAACCAACCTGGGTAAGAAACATTTTACCTACAAGAAACTGTCAGCGGTTTGCAAACACGAAGAGAAGAGATGTCTGAAAGGTGGGTTTGAAGGTAATAGGATTTTGCCCTACTGTGGAAACTTAAGCTTCAGATCAGAAAGCTTTTATGTGATATCACCTTTTGAGTGACAACTGTCAATAGGAGTTGAACAGTGGTGAGGCCAGTATGGATTTTTTTCCAGGTCTCTCTGCTGCCATTGCCTGTCATGAGACATTGCATGTTATTTTCAAATCACTTACGTACGTTCAGCTATTTTCCTCCATCAGTGTGTAGCAAAAACATTGGGGTAGTAATAACTATTTTAAAATTTCTTCATCTCAATGCATGTCCGGTTAGGAAATGCTCTGAATGCCATTTAAAACTTCTTGCCTTAAAAATAGGTTAATAACCTGCAAGTAATTGTTTTTCAAAGATTTGGATAATTCAACCTTATAGTGTATTTTATGTTTCCTTTAATGAACAGAAAATTACTTTTGTTTAAAAGACTTTCATTTACTGTGTTGTATGTTTTTCATCTGATGTAGAGAAAAATCAATTATTTTAAGAATTAAGTCCTTTCTGGCAGTTCGTATAAGTAAATCCTACTAAGTTAAATGACTGTCAGTATTTTTTCCTTATTTATCAACTCCAAGAAAAGTGCTATAATGTACATAAGTGGAATATAATTTGCTGTTGAGGAAATAGCATTGATTTTCCTGTCGGTTAAAGATTGCTAGTTGGAAAGCAAGAATAATATGTTAACTTCTACTTAACAAAATTTACTTGAAAGAATTATTCTAGAATTGGAAAAGGAGGTGGCTGTTCTTAGATCCTATATAACCAGCTTATGCCTGATGTAATAAATGCTCAGGTGAGAATATCTGAGAAAAAATGAACAAACAAAGGGTGTCAAGTTTGGAATAATTATGACCAAAATAATAGCTTACTATTTATATGTACATAATGTTTTGAAATATTTAAAACACTTTTACATACATGACACAATTTACTGACACAGGAATTTTATGTAGTCAGGCAATTGGATGGTTAAAAGGAAAGACTGCTTTCATACTGTAAATTAAATTATATAATACATCCTAGGGCTTGTCTGCCTTTGATAAAAACACATAATATACCAGTACCTGTTTCATTTCATGTGGTACCTTTGATTAGGCGTCCACAAAACTGTCAAAATATATAAACTATAAAAATATAAAAGCTAGCAAAACATATAAACTTCTCAAGGGTGGAGAGCTTATCTTTTTATTTGTTGATTTTTCTTTACTTGTCCAGATATTGAAGTGACATGATCAGTAACTAGTCTGTGTACTATTCCTCTCGCCCTTCCAAAGACATCCAATCATGAGGATGTATTTGTTGGAAATATAGGGGGCTCCCAAATAGCTGCCCTCTCTTCTAGCTGGATTCAGAACCAACTGAGACATAGACCAGGAGCGAGACAGAAGGAGCTCTGGGAGAATGTGGCCAGTTGTGCAGCAACGATGGGCTTCCTGAAACTCTCATCCAGCCTCTGGGAAACTAAAGGACTCGGATCTCTTTCACAGGGACAGAGTCTGCTGCGGTAAAAACAATGCCATAAGGAGCAGAGATGAAGGACACTGGGTAGTGGGATGAGTTAGGCTATCAAGTCTAGTTTCTCCTCACAAACTCTGTAATCTGATATTTTGGAGGTATGAGTGAGCTGGCAGAGAGAAGCCCAAGGAACTCCAATGGGTGTCCCACCACACTGAAGTCTCTCCACTTGAAAACCTGAGGCATGGACACTATGGAAAGCAGTATGGAGGTTCCTCAAAAAACTAAAACTAGAGCTACCATATGATCCAGCAACCCCACTCCTGGGCATATGTCCAGACAACACTATAATTCAAAAGGATACTTGCACCCCTATGTTCATAGCCATGTTCACAATAGCCAAGACATGGAAAGAACCTAAATGTTCATCGACAGATGAATGGATAAAGAAGATGTGGTATATATACACAATGGAATACTACTCAGCCATAAAAAAGAATGAAAGAATGCCATTTGCAGCAACATGGATGGACCTAGAGATTATCATACTAAGTGAAGTAAGTCAGAAAGAGAAAGATAAATACCACATTATATCACTTATATGTGGAATCTAAAATATGACACAAATGAACCTATCTACAAAACAGAAACAGACTCACAGACATAGAGAACAGACTTGTGATTGCCAAGGGGGAGAGAGGTGGGGGAGGGATGCACTGGGAGTTTGGGATTAGCAGATGCAAACTATTGTACATAGAATAGATAAACAAAGTCCTGGTGTATGGCACAGGGAACTATATTCAATACTCTGTGATAAGCTATAACAGAAAAGAATGTGAAAAAGAATGTGTGTGTGTGTGTATATATATATATATATATAATTCAGAGTACTGAATCACTTTGCTGTACACCTGAAACTAACACATCATTGTAAATCAACTACACTTCAATAAAATAAATTTAAGAAAATGACCTAAGGCATGCAGAGGGGAGGGTACCTCTAACTACTACCATTAATAGCAGAAAATAAAACACAACTATACTATTTCTTTAATATATATCGTTGCATTATAAGACATGTCTTCAAAAATAATTTCATTAGCGTGATCTTGGTGAATATTCATAAATACGTGATTAAGCAAAACTATAAAAATAAAAAAGCGATTCTATTAAGAATTCATCATCTTAAATACCAAAACTATTTAAGAGAAACACCCTTCTGCTTATTTCTTGCTCTGTGAATTGTCTCAAGTCATGAGAGGTTTAAAATACTTTGAAAATGTGTATTCAGGTGTTCATAGGAGAGCCTAAATCTACAATACTGGCAGTAAGTTTATGATTTAGAAGTTGTAATCTTTAAAATATACATCACATGGCATATAATAATAATAGTAGTAGTCAAATAACATGACCCATATTTACTGAGTATATGCTATGTTCCAGGTATTGTATTAAGCATTATATATGCACGGTCTCATTAATATTTCACTACTGCCTTATTAGGTTAAGACACGTGTACTTGACTTGAAAATTCCATACAGCAATGTCTGAATTAGACTTTATGGTGTCTTCCCTTTAATTAATGGGAGAGGCAAACATAAGCCCTTTTCTCTAGAGTGATAAACAGAATCAACATCAGTTTTCCACATACTGGTTCTTAAAATTATTCTAGTCAGGGGTATGAAAGCTATTATATGCCTATCAAGATGTAGGCATCGACATAAAAGCAACAGGTTACTTTAGGGATTGTGAGTAAGAAAATAATCAGGAAGTCCTGAGTTCGAGTCTCAACAGCATCCTTTTCTAGTGTGAATGAAAAACGTTGCCTGCCGTATCAGTAAACAAAGGATGTTGCAGCCATCAGACCATCACATTTCAGCATCCCCGATGGTAAGCTCTAAGGGAACTCAGGGTGCAACATGATGCCCACCACCCAGCAGTCAACTACCCAAGTCAGCCCCAACAGTACACCCTGAGGAGACTCAGGATGAGAAAACACAGGATCCTGGCCCCAGATAGCTGAGATGCTTATCAAAGGAATGATTTCAATGAGCCCAGACTCTGCATCTTCTCATAGGTAGAAAAGAGCTAAATTCCTTACCTTCAGATCTGGTTTTCTTTCATTAAGAGTAATCCTTTGATGTTCCAACTACCTGGTCTGTGTTGCAAAAACTCCTATTTATCCCAGCTCCTCCCTGACCTCTTTGGAGCCATCCCTCGGAGTGATGAGTCCTGTCTCCTGGGCTTGAAGTCCTCAGAAAATCTGTGGAATAAAACATAACTCTCAACTTCTAAGTTGTGCGGTTTTTTGTTTTTTGTTTTTGTCAACACTAGTATGTGCCTTAATCTCTTGAAAACTTGGTTTTATCATCTCAGAAAATGGGAATAATAAATGCTAGTCACCTCACAGGGTTGTTTTGAAAATCAAAGATATTAAATGAAAGAAGTAGCCTAAAATGAGTTGCATATACAGATGCAGTTTTTGGTTCCCTCTCTTCACCCCTTTTCAGCTCACCCTCTGTGCTGTCTTGCCCAGTCCTTCTTGAAGTTTGCTCACTCCTTGGAAAGGGTGCTGAGCTAAGCCCTTACACACGCCGTGGGAGTTGCCATTTCCACCATCACCTGGTTGCCTCATGTCACTCATGGGTTTCTGTCTGCAGCTTAACTACACAACACTTATTTTTGTTATAGTAAACACACATACAAACAAAAAAGCTGAAAAACGCCTATTCAATTTTGGGACCAGGTTTAGAAAAAACACTTTTTTCTTTTCTTCTTTTTTCTTCTTTTTTTTTTTTTAACGTCTTTATTGGAGTATAATTGCTTTACAATGGCGTGTTAGTGTCTGCTTTATAACAAAGTGAATCAGCTATACATATACATATATCCCCATATCCCCTTCCTCTTGAGTCTCCCTCCCTCCCTCCCTATCCCACCCCTCTAGATGGACACAAAGCACCGAGCTGATCTCCCTGTGCTAGTGGCATGGACGTATACACACTACCAAATGTAAAA